GATATTCACTCTTGTGAATCCTCCGTCCTTTCTGTTATTCCATAGTCCCCGTTCTGCCAACGGCTTTGTACGGACCGTATGTTTCTTTCTAATATTTCACTTGGGTAACCGTTTCCGAGGAATATCCTAGTCAATTTGTCCAACTCTACCAAAGGGTTCAGGGTTAATAGCAAGTGTGATGAGGCCACAAAATTTGCCAAAAAGCACCCATTTTGACGAGTGTAATATTAACAAGTCAACAGTTGTGATAGGGTGGGAGTTGAATAAGAGAATAATGAGTTGATAGATGGGCAAGCCAGCAAGAGGAGTGATAGGGTAACCGTTTTTGGCGATACTTTAGTCGATAGATTGACTCCAATTTTCTCTGACGCGTTCGTAGCTTGGTGCGTAGAATGGCAAAACTCATTGATGATGCCGACGAAACTTCTGAGAATGTACCATGTCTACGGTCTGATGCTGGAAATTATTATAACTACTATGGCAGGGGACTTCGGACAAGGTGTGTTCTACTGAGTCTCCATGACAACAAGACCAAGTTGTGATAACGAAGTCAACCTACTTATACATCTTTATCGTAAAAATTTTTGTAAAATATTATTTATCTCGCAATCTTCCTTCGTTACAATCTTCTTAAATCTCTTACTCGTCTTCTTAAGCTGCTTATTTTTTATTGTAATCATTCTTGCCTATTTGAAGTATAATATTAATTGACGTTTATCTCTACTATCACCTATATTTTCCTCTTCTGCTAACTTTTTCTTACTTTTAATTTGCTTGATTTGTAGATGGAACCTGTGAGAAAGATTAATTGATTTATGAATCTGGGTTTTATGTACTTTTTTAAATTTAAGCTCATTAGGTTTCACGAAATCTTCTAGCCTTATTTTATGATTTAACTTGTCCATGCTTAGTATTTAATTAATGGCAAAAAAATCGGTTTTTACAAATGTTATCTTTATCTCTATTTTTATAAACAACTATTAGTGAACATGGCTTAGTTGCCTATGATGACGACGATGCCAATATGTCTGGACCTGAGTTAGCCCCTAGTCCGGATCGACGTACGAAAGATGATGTTTCAATTAAGTCCACTACAACATCGTCTTCTTTGATTGTATGTACCTCTGGTATCCTATCAGAGGAACGTCGTGCCCAGCTCCGCGAAATTGAAGTCAAGGTGATGAAATATCAGGATGATCTTGAGGCTGGCCGTAAGGCTACTACTAATGATATTAACCATTCTGAATCGGTCGCAAAAGTGAGCATTCAAAATATTATTATATTTTTGACAGTACAACTATCTAACTTATCAATTATTTGCTTGTATTAAAATAGTTTTTATGATATTCTAATTGAAAACCTTCTCTATTATGCCTTGCATTAAACTTTTACCATATATTTTTATCTTTATTATTTATTATCCAGCAATATTATTTATTGTGTTTTATTATTATGATTTTTATTTATGTATACATATATAGTAACTAGATATTTATGCTTAAAATTTAATGTTTAGATACAGTACTACATTCTGACCATATTTCGATAAGTTAAATGTATAAGCGTGCTCTGTTTTTATTTAAATATGGGTTTTCAGTGTGTTTAATGTGTACTAAATCGTCAACTTGTAAGTCTGATAACCTGCTCTGAGGATGTCTGTCATCTGAAGATAGACTTAGCTCGTTTATAATGAAATCAGAAAAGATTTCTTTAACAATAGAGCTAAGCACAGTTCTATTAGACCCAGAAAACAGCTGGCCGATAATAACCCACCCTCATCTTCTGGCGTGGTCGACCTTACGATCTCCTCACTTGAAATTAGAATGAGCTCCACACTTGTTTGCCAAGATTTTTTTTGAAGACTAACTTTTATTCCTCTATAAGGCATATTTGTAGCAGACTTTTCTAACAGGGAAAAAAGTGTTTATTCGAAAGGATTACATGTCTATGGACAAGTTATTGCTAGTTGAGCCCGAATAAAATGCGTTATTTCATTTAATTTTATCAAAACTATTGTTCCTCTCAGTGGCTTATTGTGTATTTAATATTGAGGCTGAATGTAGGAATAGCCCACCATTCAAAATCTTGTGCGACCAATTCAC